GAATTTGTGACAGGAAAAATAATCTCTAGTTCTGGTCTTGAATAAGTTCTAAAGTGAGTGCGCAGACGACTTCAGTATTTAAATAAGCCCGGAGAACCTGGGCAGTGGGCTCTTGGGGGCTCTGTGCCTATGCAGTTTCCTGGGTATTTTTGGCCCCTCAGGTACCCTCTGTGAATTATACCCCTTTAGGGCACGAAGTGAGCCAACTTTGATCTCTCTTTTTGAATCTGCAATGTTTATGTGGAAATTTCCTACCTTAAAAGATAATTTTCCAGAGTAACATTGAAGGGATCTTCTAGCCCGAGGATACAAAAACCATTTCTTGGGAGAAAGAGGCAACCCAACATAAATCTGCAAGTGTCCTTCTCCGACTACAGGTCTTGTGATCAACCCGGGCTGTTGGGAAGAGACCTAGAAATCAATGCCTCTCATTCCTAATGAGACCCTTCATGTGGAGCCTGCATGAAATCGAACACTGACAACTACACCCAGCGCAAATATTTTTACTATGCATTTCAATTTAAACACGTGTCAAGCCAATTACATATTTATGGGGTTTAAAGACTGTTCCACGAAAGACTCGGATAATACGCCCTCCTCAAATCTCGGTTTCACATAAGAGGAATTTGGTCTAATAGTCAGGCCTCTTGCGAGTATGCAATAAATCATCTTTGCAACCATAAGCGTGTACAGTTGACTGCTTACCGGGGCCCCTCAGCCGCACCCCCCAACCTGGTAGAATTTTAATTCCCTCAGTAAAATTGATTCCCCCGGTTCTGCACATTATTCTCCCTGTCTTCCATTTAGCCCGTTAGTTTGCTGACAGTAGAGTACACAGCACTTAGCAGCTGGTTTGTGGACCCATCAGTCAGGAAATTGTATGATAAATAGGAGGTAGCCAGGTTTGGTGGCACTTCCTTCTGCTTCAGCAGTTTTCGCCTGGCTTCGGAAAAGCCATCATGTGGTGTTTTGTCAAGGGCCCGCGTGGGAGAGGGCTGCGGAGCGGGGATCTTACCACGCAGCCCCTTGAATTATGACCCCCCCGCCCCCGACCCCGCTGCTCATGTGTAATCACCGGCAAGCAGGATAATTCTGGTGGCTGCTGGCAACACGGGTCTGTTCCTGTCGCATGGGTTTTCTTGGACATCTTCTTGAACCGTGATGGGATACGCTGTCGATCGTCCCCATACAAATGACAGGCCGAGGTGCAAAACGGAAGCACCCAGCGTTGGAGGATTTGGGAACTTTTCTCAGGTTCGAGAAATGTGTGAGGGTTTGTGCCACACGATGCCGCAGATGGGATGGGACAGGATCATACGCTTTTTTTTCCCCCCTTTACACTGTTACACTGAGCTCAGGCATGTCTCGAATCGGAGGAGAGGTGTTGCAGAGTGTTTTTTCTGGAAGGTACCTCCAGAGCCGTGGTCTCCACTGACCATGGGTGCGCCAGGAATAGCTGTTTGCACAGATGTCGTGAGTCCAAGAGAACTTATTTTAGGGTACATCAAGAGGGAAGCCAATAGAAACAGTAAAATGCTTAAATAAAGACTGGATGCGTGTGTTCAAATCAGATCAATCCCATTAATTATTTTTAAAAGATTTTATTTATTTATTTGACAGATAAAGACACAGCGAGAGAGGGAGCCCAAGCAGGGGGAGTGGGAGAGGAGTGGGCTAAGCAGGGAGCCCGATGCAGGGCTTGAACCCCGGGATCGTGACCTGAGCCAAGGGAGATGCTTAACCGACTGAGTCACTCAGGCGCCCCTCAGTCCCATTAATTTTTTTTTTTTTTATTTACCCTAATTCCAGACTGCAGAATCCGCAGATTTCCTTAGGACATAAATAAACACATACTCTCAGTCAGAATGAACTCTTAAGCTCACAGGACTCCAGACTCAACAGGGAGGAGGGACTACGAATGTCCCAATAATTGTGTCTTCCCTTTTCCTCTCAAATGGTTTTGCCGTGCTCGGTCATTTTCTCTTTCATTCTGAAAGGAGAGAGGGCGAGAATAAGAGTGAAATAAAATCTTGTTAAAATATCTTCTTGTTAAAAAATGAAAAGTCGGTGGTGCCTTTTTTTTTTTAAATGACTTTAAAAAGTTTTTTATCATTATTTTTTCCATGTTCCAAGGTTCATTGTCTATGCATGGTGGTGCCTTTTAAATGTCCACAGCAGCCCTCCAGGGTTTTTTTGGGAGGAGATTTTATGCTGCTTGGCTACACTCTTGATTTGATAGAATCAACAGGTTGGTCTTTGCCTGTGTGCAGATAATTAGCACAACTTCATTATCAAAACTCAGATGATAAGAAGGGCTGTGACTTCCTGGATGAAAGGAGGCAGATCCTGAACAGGGAATAAATTCACACATTTTGAGCCCTGTGTATATGAAAAATGTGGATTTGTGCCTTGTCGTAATTCATCGTTGAACCCACGTAGAGAAAATCAGATATGGTTGACACCCACTTACCTGATGGAGAGAATTTAATCACACAGACCACAGCCAAGAGCCAAGAAGGGAAGATGTGAAAAGATCTTCCAACTCTGATGTACTTGTCACAATGTCCTTCAAAATGGTCCTGGAAAAGGTGTCAGATAAACCCTTAGGAGGCAGGTCAGACTTTACGAATGCTTCATTGAAACGAAATGCTTATAGCCTTATTTCTCCGATTTCCAAGAGCAGAGGACGGGAGCTAAGTTTGAAGTCAATGGGAGGCAAGCATGTTGACCTGAGTGGCGACCACTGAAAGGACCACCCCCACGTCTGGTGGCCATCTTCCTCACCCTGGACTCAAACCCGATGCATTGAGTCCCAGTTCAAAGTTCGAAGTCAGGAACTATTTACTGAATGTGTGTCAGACTTACAAATTCGTGAAAAAGATGATTCCATTCAGTTGTAGGTTGTTTTAAGAGGGAAGAATAATCTTCATCGAAGATGGTTAAGTGAAATTGGACATTTTGGCTTCCCATGATGACTGATGCAAAGCTCCTGCACTGAATTTGACAGCAGGGCCCGATCAACTCTCAAACTTAGCACGCCAGCCATCAAGATTTGCATTACGGACGAGTAACTCCAACATTCTTTAATATTAAGTCCTAAGCAGTGCACTTCAAATAGAATTGAATTTTTGGTGTGTGGAATTTATACGGTATGCGGTGTGGCAAGGTGTGACGTGTTTGGAAATCCCTTACCCGTTCAGTCTCCAGCATGGCTGTTCTTGGTGAACTCACAGTGACAGTAGCATGGCCCCACGATGATTCTTCACCTCCCTGCTGGCCACTCCCTCCCTCCTTTATCCTACAACAAGCCCTGGATAGTCAGGAAGCCTTTGCGTTACAACATTCCTCTCCCAGTCCCAGCGGTTTTCCAAGAAAGGTTCCACATCCAGTGGGACCGTAGCTTCGGGCAACACCTTGGTTCTGTCAACAGTGTGTCCATAGTTTTTTGCTCTTATTTTATTTTTTGCTCCTCATAACCTTACTGGTTGCTTCTCAGAGCAAGGCAGCAAGGGCAAAGTTCAGACAAGGGAAGTAAGATTTCCCAGTTTTTTAAAAAAAGGTGGTTGTGTTGACATTCTCAAAGATGCTTGCTGAAGAAAATTTAGGAGAAAGAGAAATGTATAAGGAGGAAAAGGAAAAACACCTGAATTCATCACACACACACACACACACACACCCCACTTAGACATGGTGCGGGGGGTGGGTCACACCTGATCCATGTTTGGCACAGGCCCTCACCCTCCACCCAGAGTTTCTGTGTCACTTCTTGCAGACAAAACTCAGAGACTGTTCTCAGGTCTAGGCAAAACCTTCACACCTTCAGAAAATGCTGGAATCCCTCCTGAGGCCCCTTTGCTGTGCACATCAATCCCTGGGACTGTTTTCAGGCAATAGCAACGGGATGGCTTCGTGCACGTGTGGAAGGTAATATTTGAAGAGAGACCTCGGCATATGTGCTCAAACACAAGGACTACGGCCCTGGAGACACACCTTCGCTCTGTCACTTTGCTTCTTGAAAACCTCGGGGGGAAGACTCAGGATCAGCCAAGCTTCTCCTGATACAACGGCAAATTTCTCTTCAGTGTCTGCGGTCAATTACTATTTAGAAAATAAGTAAATAAATTGATGTTCGGATTTGTCAGAGCATCTGCTTAAGGTATTATAATCACTGGGAGTCGAGGAGCTGGGCTTCAGGACCCAGGAAACACTAAAACCAGCCTGAGCTGGACAGGAAGGAGGCCGGTCTGGGTTCAAGGTGAATGTCAGGGCTGCGGGGCTTGCTTTGCTCCCAGCCTCCCCCTGTCAGTGTGAGAGGGTCCACCAACCTCTTCCAGCTGGGTTAGCCCATTTCTCTGGCCAGCCTGGAGATTTGCTGCCCTCGTCCTTGTGTCAGGACTGTGGAGGCCTGACCCAGGACAGGAAGGAGGGGAGTGTGTGTTTAAATGTTAAAATTGTGGTTGCGTGTGTGCATGTGTGTGTGCGTGTGTGTGTGTATACCATACACACATATGGGAGTGCATACACATGTGTACGTAGACTCATGGATTCCAGCAGGGACTTTAGAAAAGGCTCCTTCCTTTAGAAAACATCATGGATATGAAAGAAACAAAATTCGTATTTGTGTTACATCTTTGTCTAAATTTCACATGACAGTACAATTACAAAAGGAACTATGTCTCTTGAAATCTGTTCCTTTTGCTTTCGTGGCTCCGTTCAGCCCTTCCTTCAGGGTGGGACATACCTTATCCCCCTTGCTCGCTTTTCCATGTGGGTCGTCGCTGCATTCCTTGCCCCCACGTCCTCGGGCACAGGTACGAGGTGCTTGGTCTTACTTCTGGGGTCCCCCATGGCCTGCTAATGAACTTGGAAGAGTGCTCCCACAGATTCTTGAACGTGGACGTGGCGTACGTGGCAAAGGCCGTAGAGCGGTGCGGGGCCTGGGTTGGGATTCTGTTTCAGGGCATTCCTTTCATACATGCTGGATTTTCTTTCTGTTTCAGACCCTTCTCATCTCTTTCCTGCGTTCCACCCTCCCGTACCGATCGACGCGAGACATCACGAGGGCCGTTACCACTACGACCCGTCCCCGATTCCTCCACTACATGTGTAAGTAGTAAAACCTTACCCTTTAACGAAGCAGAACAGAGCACAGGCTCCTCCTGTCTCACGACGTTCTGTTAACAGTGTGGCTCCTGGCTTTGAAGATGCCGTAGGACTCTAAGATTTACTTTTGAAATACGGCAAGCCTGTCTGTTTCTGGGCTCACTGGAGCAGAGCCCCGTGGCTTCCTGAAGTCATGCCTGTCACCCTAGGTGGCTGGCACGTATCCACTCTGTGTTTTGCTGATGTGTGTTCTGTGGGCTGTAAATACGAAATTAAAAAAATTGAGGTCTCATGGAAAACTAGCCCTCAGAATATGTAACTGGGGGAGATGGGGTCTGAGGGCCTCATGCCTTCATGACCGGTCGCCCGGAAGTCCTTCCTGCCCCAGCGATCACAGCGAATGGTCATGAAATTTTTATGGGGAATTTTCAGGGCCCCCGCAGTGTGTACAGTGAAAGGGACTTGACTGATGGAAATGTCTCCCAAACAGAACGGCACCCGTGATCGAGCGTGTGATTTACACAAAGATAAAGGGAGAGAGGGATGGTGGTCACGTACATTAGGAAAGAAAGCAGAGGGTTATGTGGAGACGAATATCATCTCACCCAGGCTCGGGGTAAAAAGAGTAGTGGACTTCCACCCTAAAATGGCATTTTCTTGTCATCACGTCCGGAGAACCGTCTGGAACTGTGATTACTGGACCCAGCGTCTGGGAGGGGCCGCCCTTTCCTAACGGCCTTGATGTATACATGTAGTCAGATCTGGTAATCACCCTTTATTCTGAGACAGTGACGTTAGAGAAGCACAAATAATACTTGAAGAATAATGCTGGTTATTTAGATGGTGGATTGCATCTCCGTGGTCGTTAGTTAAGCTGTGTAATTACGTATATGCCAAAGAAAAATGAAGTTGTTTTAAAACAAGTCCTCCTCTGTGAACAGAATTAATTGATATTAACAGCCATAACTACATGCCCAAGTACACATATAATATTTTACCAACAGTTTTTTGGATCTATCCCCCATTATTGAATTGTAATTTCAGAGCAGATTTGCCTGGAGGTAAGTCATAAATCTGTGTTGCAGACTTGCAAGAGCATTAAAGGAGAAGTGGGTATTTATAGAGAGACTACAGAAACTTGTGACTTAGTCTTTGACTTTTCACTGGAACCCAAGTAAGTGTTTACAGGGTTCCGAGGCCTGATAAAAATACACTCAGATGAAACCGTGAGGCCAATTAAAAGCCCCAATATAAAAAGGGAAGGACATTCCAAATTCAGGCAGAAACCCGCCGTGTAATTCGGCCTGTGGAGTGGAGGCTTTGCAGGACAGATGGGCCCACTAAGGTCCTCGACGAGCCTCTGCCCCGTGGTACAGAGCCAGCAAGGGCCAGACCAGCTTTGGAGATGCTCGTGGCTGATTCCTCCCAGTTACCAGTCTCTGTGCTGTGGTAATCTAAATCGGATTTTCTGTGGAATTTCAGAATTCTTTACACTTTCAAAAATCCTGTTATAGAGAAACTTCAAAAAAAAAAAAAGTTTATATAATGCAGTGAACTTGTTCCTATGGGTTTATTATAGCTTGCCTTGTTATTAAATTCATATATGAATTTAACCAATAAAAATCCCAAGTCTTGGTTCCTGGGCGGAATACAATAATAGCAAGCCCTTCTCTAGCCACACATTGTATTCTGGGCCCTGACCTCTGCGCCTTCAGTATTAACGCACAAGATGAGGTAAGTCAACTTTGGAAATCCCTTGGGTTGGAGGTTGCATTTCAGGTGTGACTGCTGAGCTGGGATTTTTATAGGTTTTAGGACTTCCTGCTTTTCCAGCCACGCCTTCGGATACTTTCACAGAATTGACTAAATGGATCTCTAGCTGCCTAAACGGATAGTTATCAAAATTCTTAATGTCAGGCTAACTGACCATCCTGAGGCCCTCAGGAGAGTCCTGGAGGCTTCTGGGACGGAGCATCATTGCCGCAAGCAGAGCGTAGTGAGAAGGTGGGTCTGTGGCTGCCCAGGTGGCTTGTCCTGGCAGGGTTCTGGGTGGGGACCCCAAGTCTGTGCGCTTGGCTCTGGGAGGCCAGGGCACATCTCTCCCGTGTGTCTTTATAACAGAACATTCTCTCCGTGTCGCCTTCGGTGGCCCTCCCTTGCTGCATGGCCTCATCCTTAAGGCCTAAATCAGATGTCATTTGCGCTGTCGTCCCCAAGGCTGTTCCTCAGAGCGCCCGACGTGTGCTTCACTGTGGCACCTGTCCCCCTTCCTGGTGGTTTATTGTCCACTGGTCACCGCCCCTGCTCATTTGGCAGGCAGTGTGCCCAGCCCTTGGCCTGGCACCTTGTAAAATGTTGTCCCTCTGGGACACGGGATGAGCAGGACAACCCCAGACCCCCCATGCTTGCTTAACTTACGCTCGCCTGTTCCGGGAAACATGGTAACATACGTTTGCGTGGGTCGGTTTCATCCCCTGCAAAGGGGGTTTTCTGCCTTCCCGGACTCCGAATTGCAGGAGGAGTTCAATGAAGTCAGAGCACAGAGCTCTGAGCAAATGCCGGGAGTTAGCATTCGAGGCGGCGGGGGCCTGGGAAACACTTATCTCGCTGGACCACGAACCCTTAGATGCCTGTGATCATTTTAAGAGCAGAAGGTCATCTGGGCAAGGTTGGCTTTGTTGCTGAAATCTAGACACCTTTGCTGAGGGGTGAAGCAGTATCCTGGAAGAGTAAAAGGGCTTTAGGGTTAGGGTTTTGGAACTCAGGTTCCAAACGTGAGTTCCAAAACGCTCACTCTGTAATTGTCTCCTAAAAAATGAGATCAAGTACGCTTACAGAGTTTGTAGAATAAACATTTTTAATTATACCAAGACAAAATTTGGGGATATTCTCATTATTTTGTACACATAATTGTCCTTCTGGTGCCAGCTTTTAAAAATGAAATTATAAGTCTCTTGCAAACAGGATTTGTGTTAATGATGGAAGTACCAGGAGATCTCTGTTTGGAGGGATGGCAGGCGCTGTGATAATTATGCTATCATATCCTATCATTAAAGATTCTATTGAAAGAGGTTTATAAATTGCTCCTCTTTTTAGATAAACCACCCTATATTAAGGCATCAACGATATGGCGCAAAATTAAATTAAAATCTCATAAAATGAAATATGTTCCGTATTAGCTGTTTGACACTTAATTTGCCTCTGAATGAGTAGAGGAAATCACAAATTAACCTGCCTTTGTTTTTTCAACCATGGCTTATTAGGTGTTAGAACAACTACAATTACAGCCTAATAATAACCACCAAGCCTTATAAATATGTACGGAAAAGCATCTGTTTGTGTTACAAAACCCAGCTTGTGAAAAGCAGTGCCTTTAGCTTACCCTGCCTTTCTCTGGGGGTGTTATCCCAGGGTCCACGGTCAGGCAGCGGAGACAGAGCATAGAAACTCACATTGTCTAAGTACTCCTGGAAATAATAGCAGAATTTCTCAGTATTTCCTGTCTTCGCCCAAAATCATGACTTTAGATTCACGGGCTTACAGGTGGGACGGAGGAATGTAAGCATCTTCTTTCCCTGAGTTGTCAGGGAAAGGTTGTCCTCGAAAATGTAGGATTCCTGCAATATATTCATTTAATTCAAGTAGTTTAGAAATGAAGAAACACTGGAGGTGGGAAATGTCCCCTTTTCTCCTGAAAGTTCCTCTCCACTGACTTCACCAGGACTTCTGCCCAAACGATAGATGAGAATGTTTTCTCACTCTCTTAGATCATATGGAAAAGGGCAGTGTTTTGGAGAAATATCAGTGAGAGCATTTTATGAGATGACTGAGATTTTTTCTGGAACATTCATGACAGAAGCTGAATGTGTATCTGGAATGGAGTAGATTCTTCCTTCCTGGTCTTCTCTGTATCCCATCCCATGCCTTGTGTGGTTCTCCTCAGGCCCACAGCCCTGCACAATTCCAGGAGGCATTACTATGTTCTGTGGGGTGTGCGATGCTCTTGAGGCTAAAAGTTACTTCTTGTTTTCAGATTTCACATGGAAATTTAGACAACTGCCATATTACACTCCATTCCCTCAAAGAACAGTTATAGGTCCGAGGGACTATGTCTGTCCTTATGAAGGAAGTATCTTCCTCTTGCATTCTTGAGTGTGGGCTTTTTTTTTTTTTTTTAATTTTTAGTGTCCAAAATTGTTGAACGATGCTCCTTTTTAAAAACTGGACATAGAGTGTCCCTAGAAACTCAAATGATAAAACTTTACTTTTGGTGTTTATTCTGGATTTTCTCTTGGAAGAAATGTCTATCTTGTACTTACAACTTTTGTGAGCCAGAGTTTTCTCACTTATGGACCCCTATGAATTGAATTTCGGACCGTCTATTTGCTTCCTACTAAACTCTGCAACTCATTTCCCAGAGCAGGAACCTTAGTTCCTAATCTGTTAGGATCGTTCCAACCCCACAGACCTTCTTGCCCACAGAGATGAGAGCAACCAGTGTCTGGAGCTGGGGGTGCGAACGGGGCTGTGTCCCTTCCCCATCCACTTCAATCACTGGTCCCAGAAAACCAGCTTCACCTTTTCTCTCTTGGGGGAAGTGAGAGCTCCTGTTCGGTCTCATTCATCAGCTCTTTATTCTCTTGCTTGAGTCAATGTGACTCTCTCCGGGGCCGCCCGAGTCCCTGGAATGATTCCACCTAACTAAGAAGAGGTGGTCTTTCTACTGAAAGTGGTCCACAACCTGGCCCCTGGGGAGAGGACGCCAGGCCCAGCAGGCACTCGTGTTAGCAGCGAAATTGAGGGCACTGGAAATAAGGCTTTGTCCCAAGATTATGACAGCCTCTTAGGGGTGAAACCAGGAAGATGAGTAGCAAGTATGGACATGAATAAATAAATTTCTTTCCAGGGAGAAAAGGCCCAAGAAAAGACATGTCATTACGGTAAAAGCTTAGACAAAGAAGGGCTAAGTAGCCGGCCGGTTCTGCTGTTCCATTTCCTTCCCT